CTTCTCTGAGAGAACGATGTGCTCAAGAGCGCCAAACAAGCTACAAAACAAGGTAGGTTCGAAGAACTGAAAGCCCGTTGCATTCTCTCAAAGGCAGGCAAATATGCCTTTTTGCCTCAGGTGGTGGTCAGCAAGAAGGTGTTGGCGAGTGTACGATGCACATAGTGTCGGCATGGCGTCAGCACTGCTCAGGACTCTTGATCGGATGATCTCATTGGTCTTGAGGCCCCGGTTTTCGTACCTGGAGCGTTTCGCAGGCGGCAGGAAGTCGAGCGAGTCGTACGTTTGGCACTCTGAGGGAGACAAACGAAGTTGCGAAGCCCATCGCTGCGGGGTTGGAAATTGGCATGCCTGATCAGTCCAATGCATTTGTGGGATCATGGGGAGTTTGAGAAGGAAAGGAAAGTCCAGCAGGGCAGCATCAGTTCTGACCCAAACTCCAACCCATCTAGATCTAGCATGGGAAGTCATCTGTTGGTAGGGAGTGATCTGGTCCCAAACAAGGCGGTAGCCCAAGGCATTTGCAAGGGCTTTGACAACCTTGAAATGTGGGTGGACAGCTAAGTCATCTGCACATTCTGCTGCGATTGCAATCGTTTGCAGTGAAAAACTTAGAACAGCGCCTCCAAAAATGCTCTCCCATTCGAGTCGCCTAACCCCAATCCACGGCCGCCCCTGCTCCAGCTTTGGCATGGTGGCGACATGGTTGTGATCAGGTTCACTTGTGATCTACAGGCATCGATCAAAGAGGCATCACTGATGCGTCCACACAATCCGACCTGCTTGGTGGGGCTCCACGCTTTGTCGGCAGCTAATGGAAGTTGACGGTGCTTTGAGCCACGTTTCACATCCCAAATTGACATGATCAAGGGATCTCGATCCACAAAAATCTCTTGCCCCAAGCACACCTCCTGGACTCGATCCATCCATCTGATGGCTTGGCTCCAGCCCCCAAAACCACCGCAAAACATATGCAGGAAGTCCCAAGGAAGGGATGGGTCAAACTCCGGCCTGAAGCAGATCCTTGCATCCTTGAGCGTGAGGTCATGGGAACTCAAACCGGGTGAATGATCACCTATACACACGATCTGGATGCCAGAACAGAGGTGGATGTTCTTCTTCTAGATGTCAGTGAACCCTGGTGATTGCATCATCCCTTGGAGGGCCAAAGCCAGCGCCGGGAACAAACCATAATGCGGTCAAATCCACCCACTCGTCACCGTAGGTGACCACATCACCGGCGATCAGAGTCCTCGAACCTACGCGTGGCGTAGTCCCAGTCGTCAGGCCAGAAAACAAGCCACGAACCTCAGTCTGCAAAGTGTCCTGGAGGGACGACAAGAGGTCTTCCAGCTTATCCATGGCACACTCCCTCAAACGAAGCGCGGGAACTCGGAGGCACAAGAAAAGGCTGGACCCTGACTGTCAGGGTCCTGGTGGACACCGCCTCCGACTTTCGCAAGTCGGCGAGCGGCCACCGGTGGCCGTCACCTAAGCCTTCAGGCTTTGGGCCCCGTGGCTCCTTACTAGTAGTAACAAGAAGCTAGTAGGAACAAGTGCCACGCTAGTAGTAACAGGTGCCTTACTAGTAGTAACAAGAAGCTAGTAGGAACAAGTGCCACGCTAGTAGTAACAGGTGCCTTACTAGTAGTAACAAGAAGCTAGTAGGAACAAGTGCCACGCTAGTAGTAACAAGTGCCTTACTAGTAG